AGAACAATCAAACTTGATATCCTGGAATTTCTTAAAATGCTACATTACCTTATAAACTTTACCAAACGCACCATCTCCCAGTTCACCCACCATTTCCCAAAACTCTTCCGGATTGCAGTCCATCTTGATGTTATTGTATAACTTCTTCTTCTTCGCATCATTGCCACCAAAGTGGAAAGCTTTCTTCAGATTTGATAAGAACGACATTTTGATAGATATATCTCGATATATTCACAACGTGTACTCAAACTCGAATTACTATTGCAATTTGAACACACTGAAAACCCTTAACAACACTCTCCGCTGTACAAAGTGTAATCATTAACAACTGTGTATTAAATTTGTAAAATATAACTCTAGTTGGTGCTCAAAAGAGCTTAGTAACTATTTCGTAGCACTGTAATGTGTGGTAAAACAATTGTCACTTTACGTAGTCTCCGCATTATTTTAATATCTATTGAATTATATAAGAGTTCTTTAAGCGCAGGAGTGTTACTTTCTTTAGATCCCTGCTGGATACCAGGGGATCGTGCCACACCACTCCCGCATCTTTGTAAACTCTAAGCCGCACTTCCTAATCGATTATCGTTGCGCTCAAACTACTGTGGGCACAGAGAAAAACAATGCGACCCATTGCTCAATCTCCAATAATTAGACACCCAGGAAATGTCGAATCAAGTTCTGAAACAAAAGAATACAATTTATTATTTATTATCAATTATTATACTTGCAATTCTATCAATTTGTTTTGTTAACATTTTAACGTTCGGTTTGTTAAAAATACGGAAGTCGAAGAGAGAACATATCTTTTCAGCTTTTGCTATGATGTATATGTGTTTTATTTCTAATATACTTCAACGAATAACACAGAAATTTCGTTACACAGAAAACTAGGACAAAGTCAGCGGAACGTCCTGTTAAACAAGATGTTCACCTTAAAGTTGGCTTGAAACTAGAAATCATATACTGCATGTATAAAATCTTAATGCGTGCGATTTTAATGTATAAAATCTTAGCGTGTGCTAAGTGCTCATTAAAAAGAATCAAACATGAGACGTATTACGCGGATGTACAAATAAATTACAGAGGCAAAAGATAAGAGACGTAAGAGAACACAGATATCGTTGATAAGCTTAAAAAAGAAAAAAAAACTGCTATCTGCAGTCAGTATTATCAAGGAATTCGTAGTAAAATGCCGAACAATTAACAATAACGCGTTCACTGAAAATTCGAATTCTCGGCGGTCCACCGAATGCCCTTCTCTGCGATATTTGCAACTACATTCTGTAACTTGAAAACGATAGTGTTATCGTTATTGTTCCACAAATAAAATATATGATAAAAAAATCAGCGCAACGATAACACTGTCATTAAGAATTAAGCCTAAGACGCAATTGAAAAGCACAGGCAATGGAAATAGGAGATAACAGATTTGAACTTATAGCCTAAGATATAATTAAAAAACGTAAGTAACAGGAATTGGGTACGAAATGGGGTACGAGGGTCACAAATGGAGGGATCTTGCTCAGGGACGGGAACAGCGGCGGGATTTGGTATTTGCGGCAATGAGCTTTCGAGTTCCTAACGCCTAATAATAATAATAATAATAATAAGTAACAGGAATTGTGTGTGAGAATAACAAAATTCAACTTATCAGAAACCATGATATTTTGGGGTATATACGATTTCAGGTAGAAACCATATTCCCTGCTCTCCTATCACTTGTGTTTTTCAATTGTACATTAGGCTTATCAGAAGTCATGAATTCTGATAAACATAGTTTCTGATAAGTTGAAATCTATTATTCCCTGTCCCTATTGCCTGTGTTTTTCAATTGTGTCTAAGGCAATACAGAATGTAGCTTTTGGCCCTTTAATTTTTAGGTGGAAGATGTTTTTAAAGGCCGAACTTTCGCAACGGGACGCCAACACATACTTCTACGAGTTTTCTTTCAAAGGGAAGGAAGAGGCCAACTGGATAGCCAAAGGCGAATGCAGTGGCGATTGCAAAGTGATGCCCTACTCGCGGAAGCATCCTGCGTGTGGGCAGCGAGACTTGCAAAACGTCCGGTGGATTCGCAGGCGCGACGGCAAATTCGATTAGGCGTTTAATCGGAATTACCGTTGCATATCGCGGCGAGTCTCCGCCTCGCGATATAATCCTTTTTAACATGGTACGCGAAATGATCGTCTCCCCCTCCCTTCCTAGAAATTTCACACTGGAAAGTAGCGATTATTTATTTTTACTACATTTCAGTATTAAATTGTTGCTTAAAGAAGCTACGCGATTTGCGGCTCCTTGTTTATACATCGTTATAAATGTCAACGTTTCAAGCATTGCGATTCATTCTTGAGACATTCTGAAATTTAAAAAAGTTAAATAAAAGGGTACGTCAGGCAAATGAGAGGGGCAGTCAGTAGGACATCAGGCGCAGTTAGTAGGACGCAATTAAAATCTATAATTATCAATTATACTCGATTAACATTTCGGCTCACTTTTGATCAACATTAATGCCCATTTTTAATTTTAATTTTGATTCAATAAACTTCATCTTTATCTAGTTCTAAGAATTAGAAAAAGATAAATAGTAAGTTGAACCAAGATTAAAGTTAGTCTACATTGGTAGAAACGGGCATAAAATTGGATTTTTGAAAGGGCTTTAATTGATAGTCGCCCTCGATCGCGTATATCTTGTGTAAATGTGAGGGACAATAAGAAATCGTGAAAAAAATGGCTAGAAAAGAGAGAGAGCAAGAGAGAGAGCAAGAGAGAGAGAGAGAGCGAAAGAGAGAGCGAGCGAGCGAGCGAGAGAGAGAGAGAATGTCGACAGGTGTTGACGCTCGGTCACGCGGCTTGACCAGGCTTGACACAATTTTGACAAGTGACCTTAGGTCACGTCCGTACCGTTGCCGATGCGACCGACGTGCCAGGAGGTACAGCTGTACGGAAATCTGACTTTTCAAGAATCCTGGCCGGCAGAGATCCGTCTCGTCCCCGTGTCCTGTCTATCCACGCGTCGTCCGTCTCGGAAAAGCGGTTAGAGCTCCTCTCGCACGAACACGCCCCGACACGCCGCGCATGGGAAATCGAGCTCAATCGGGCAACGCACGGCCGTTCACGCGTGAGCGACAGCCGAGAGACAGCCGTCGTCGTTGCCGACGATGACGATGTTCGGGACGGCCGAGATCGCGTAGGACAACGTCGAGCTTGTATCCGTCTTGTGGAGGCTAGACTGTTTCGCGGGTGCGCCTTTTCTCTCTCTTTCGCTCTCTCTCTCTCTCTCTTTTTCCGCATTGCCTACCTGCGACACTCTCCCTCTCTCCCCTGCCACGATCGAGATATGTACGCGGATGACTTCATTCCACGCGTATAGAAAGTGCAGGAAGGTGCATTTAGAACGGTGCTGTCCAAAATACGTAATTCCACTGGCATTGACTTGATGTGTGTCGACGTTCACGCCTATCGCTTTTCTTTCTCTCTATTTCTATTTATTTCCATTACGGAAAAAAAGTAAGACATGAACACCTATATATGTCAAGCCAATGCCCACGATTACAAATCTTGGACAGCTATTCCATGTGAACGGGGAGAGAATAAAAGCGCTGTGTCGCGCTCACTTCAGGCGAGACGGCGAGGACGGTCAGATGGTAGTGAACATGGTAACGAATACGCGTGGCCCGCGTGCAACTTCAGGGCGGACGACGAGCGGCTGTCCGTCATCTACACGAGAAATATTTTGAGGACGTGTTCTCTCGGAAGAAGCAGTTATGCCAACTCTTGGCCACTGTCGCTTACCTGCGATCGGTGACAGGATGGTCTAGTATTGAAATCTTGGACACGACGACCGCCTTCTCCTCCTCCTCTTCCTCTTCCCCGCGTTTTGCCACTGCGATATCCACCGGAATGTAGCCGATAGCTGGTCGACTGCGCGTCCTGTTTCACGGAATCTGTTCATGGGAGAGAAACAGAAGGCTGGAGCGATCACACTGAATAGTAAATACACACGCGAGTGCAGATCGCGTTCCGTCGCGATCCACACAGGAGTCTATCTTTCGTGGAGATTGGCAATCTCTACAGCAAACCTGTCCGCATACACGGCCATTTTCAACCTACTGCTCACCATCACGTTTGCACGATCGCACTCACGCATGCACGCACGCATGTAACACACGTAAGCCACGAGAGAGCGAGCAAACCTCTCATGCGTACACGAGACGCGCTCCACCGCGTTTGGTCTGCGTTCAGAAGCTTTACTAGGGCCGGTATTCATAGTCGATTCTTATCAAGACCGTCTTAAGTAATGCCTAAGATGGTGCGGCCACAATAGAAGGAATAAGGAATCCAACCTATCAGAAACCGTATATTCCAGTGTATCCAATATCTGATAGGTTGAAAGCTATTCCTTATTTGAAAGTTATTTCGCTAATGCAGCCTTCTGATTGGTTCGTGACTTCTTAAGACGTCTTAAATATAAGATCTGACTATGGCCGGTATTCATAGTAATTTCTTATTTTAAGACCTCCATGATGGATTTCTCGATTCTCAAGGTCTCCTTGGCAACCAATCACATTCAATTGCTCGGCAAGAAGGCTAGCAGCTTTGTCCAGTTTGAACGCGCTCAATATTAAGATTTTAATCCATCAGAAACCGTATATTCTGATATAACTAGTATCTGATAGATTGAAATCTTAATATTTGTTGCTGTTCCTGATATTTGTTCTATTGTGCGCAAATCCTAATGGCTTCTACATGTTTGCCGCGCGGCAGACGTCGCACTAATAATTTTATTGCTCGTACATAGTCAAATCTTGTACTTAAGGTTTCCTTAAATTTATCTTTAGATGCTCTGAAGATAAATTTAAGAAAGCCTTAAATATAAGGCTTGACTATGAATACGAGCATATGTTCTTAAGTCATCCTCACCATGCAAAACTTCTAGAAATGATGTAATATTACTTCCGTCGCGTGACAAAAGTTGGATTGAGTTCAACTTTTGTCGCGCGGTGGAAATTCCTCAGGGAGGAAGTTTTGGAACGCACCCCAGGAGTCTAGTATCATTCTATCCTTATTATCACTTGTTATTTACCGAACGTAAATAAGGATGATGTTCTGAGAACATCCGAATGGGAATCCGAATACTCCTTTATAAAAGAAGAGAAAGTACTAATTCTAACCTAAAAAAAAGTTATCAGTTTTATATACATCAAACCGTACGTAAAATGACAATTGATTTATATCGATTAGAAGTTACGTAAAATTATAAAATTTTTTCGAAAAAAGTACAACATAGCTACTTGTTCTACTCGAGATCATCCACGTTTAAACAGAACTGTGTTTTTTAGGTTATCTATTAATTATCAAATTATAGTCGGAGTTATAAGATCTTCTCAATATTTTCTCGGCATTTTATTACATAATATTAAATATAGTTTATGTGTCCAAGATATAATCATTCTCTTTATTTATAAAATAGCGATAATATGGCCAAAGAACGTGGCGTCTTGAAAATAATTTGGAACAGTATTGTATCCTCGCTGAAACCTCGCTTCGCCCGTCGTAAATTGATTGGCGAGGATTACTTTGGCACGAAGTATTACCAGGAAGATATTCTTTCTTCCTCCCGGAAAAGGCCACCGCGGTATTTCGTTCCAGTGAACAAGGAAAACTTCGAGCAAGAGTTACCCGCGGAATGGGAGGCCTGGTTGAGATACCGTAGAAAAGAACCACCCACGCGAGAGGAAATAGAAGCTAATTACCAATTGGCAATAACTAAGAAGGAGAATGCAGCGAAGCTTTTGAATGAGAATCGCTCAAAAAATGATAACACTAATCTTCCAACATCATCTACTACTCAGACTACTCCGGGAAATTTTCCAGTCTATGAAGATATGAAAGGTTTTGGTAGTGATTATAAACCAAAGGACTCCTACAAAGAATAATAATAAATAAATAAATAAAGAATAAAACAAAAAATTTGATGAAATTTCTAAATAGTTTTAAAGAAATTGTTTAGCAAAAATTGTTTTCTAACATTGATAATTGATTGTAGGATTCTATATATGATATATGAACATTTTTTAATTTTTTTGTTAAACTGGACTGTATCAGAGAACAATCTGAAAACAGCCATCCCAGCCTTTTTTATGAAACTCTTGAAACCCTGTACATCAGTATACCAACATCCATTTTTAATAATATTGATATTGGTATTAGGTACCACATCTATTTTATTAAACTGTCGATAAAATTATAATATCAAACATGAATGTGATCCATAGATAAACAGTGGTGTATCTGTGCTAATAAGAGAACAAATGTAGCATGACTAAGGCTTAGTTTCACAACTCACAGTTAACTTTAAACTGAGATTCAACTTATTTCTTATCTCTTTCCAATTTTAGCATTAGAAAGAGATGAGGAATAAGTTGAATCTCGATTAAGAGTTAACTATGAGTCATGAAAGTGGGCCTAATGGAACATTCAACAACTCAACTGTTAAATGACACTGTTATTGGTGAAGTCTTGTGGATTATCCAATCAGACTTTAGATCTAAAAGCATTAATAACAGTAAACACTTACTCAACTGTTAAATTCGCTGAATGTGCTCAGTCACAATTCTGCAATCATTACTTTGCTTTCTTTTCTGCCCTGATGATTGGTCTTGCTATTCTGTTCAATTTATAATTAATATAATAAAAATACAACAAAAAATTGTAAATTTGTTTCTTCTATGGAAAAACATTTGTAAAAACATCCTTTTCCGACTTTTTAAAATATCCTTTTAAATACGTTTAAGATCTATGAAGTTCAAGACTAGAATGATTAAAATTGATTGAAGAATTCTTAGGATATTAAATTGTTAAACCTTAGGTGAGTCACTCTGTATATGTAAAATGATTTATTATTAATGTCTATCTTTTTCTATACATGTAAATTAAGATCTATCGCTTTCATATACAATCATTCTCGACAAAATTATAACAAAGGTACTATATACTGGATAAATGTATGAAATATTTGTCTCAAGATACTACGACTCTAGTTTGCAATTGCGGTCCGTGATATGAAACTAATGACGTACGAAATAGGATATAAAGTTTCGTTTTACATGGGGGAGGAGAAGAATTAAATGAATGTAAGACATTCTAAATCACATTTGATAAATTTGAATCGTTTTCTGTTTGCGCTGTGCAGTTCCTATATTTCGCGTCTTGAGGCCTGCTCTTTTTAGTTAAACTTTTGCATCAGTTCTTTTTTTCTCTTCTTTCCTTTTGCGAGAGAAAAGGAAGAAAAATGAACTGGTGCAAAAGTTCAGTTAAAAAGAACAAGTCTTTGATCACTACACATTAGTGTACGATTAGAGCCATGAATCGCGTGCACTTTTGACTTCAACACGTGACTCTAAGATTTCATTATAAATAGTAGCTTAAACAAAGGTCAAGCTATCAGTCAACATTAAATTTTGTCTCTTACACAAATTTAATTGACAAAAACTTAATATATATCAAATGAGAGTATTTTACATCAACCAGAAAAATCACTATTGTCAAATAGAGCTTGATCATATAACTCTCCTTTAACTAGTCGTCCGCCGAAATAACGACCATTTAATGAATCTCTTGCACGTTCTGCTTCTGAAAACATAAAAATTGATCCAATAATTACATGATACACAAATGTTAATATATATAAGATATATTACAGTGTAATTTAGATTATTCACATACTTAGACGAGAGTATGATCAATTTATGACACTATATATAAGGTAAATGTCTCAATAACTAATGCCAGTTTCAATATAGATTAACTTTAATCTCGGTTCAACTTACTCTTTATCTTTTTTTTCTTATTCTTAAAACTAGAAAAAGATAAAGAGTTAGTGGAATCAAGATTAAAGTTAAACTGCAGTGGTAGAAATGGGCATAAATGTGCCCATTACAAGTAACGTTAATGGAAAAATCAACAATATATTTATAATTATTAAGATATCAATAGCAAGAAAATAAACTAAAAAAAGGTTAAATATTTTGTATCAAAATAATTTAAAAAATTTTATATTTCGGAAGAGCAGTCATATTTTCACTCTCTTCTTATCATTTTGAGTAAGACATAATCTATATTTTCAAATTTTTTAAAATATTATACTATGTAATAATATCAGTCTAAGGCTTATGTCACTAAATGGAAAGCATTTAATATTGAGTAAATTGGTGTACATTGGCCATGTGATATGGAACCATCTTATCGATATATATATTATTATTGTATGTAATTATAGATAAAAATATAAGAGAAACGTTTTTGCTTGTTAACGCAAAAAAATAATTGTATGTATAATTTACTGCAGTCAGATGGTGCAACTGTGTAATATGTACGTGGACCACAAAGTGTGTTAATTCCTTTTGTAATGCCATTAATTAATATTTATCGATGCAAATATAAGATTAATTATTAGTTTTTATTAGTTCAGTCATTGAGATATTTATCACCGAGACATAAAGATATACTTTACCATTCATTTCAGCGAATTCGACGAATATCTTTACGATGACTTCCGCGTTTTCGTCGTCCTCGGACTGTCTCTCTTTATAAATAATAACTCGTACAACTACACCAAATTTAGAGCACTCGTCCTGAATTTCTTCCTGTAGGGTCTCGTCTACATCTTCCGGTGCTACCATATTTCTTAAAATAACGACTCGAGATTCGACTTTACGCATAAGCTTTTGCATTACGAGATGACGCGCACTCTGGCCTTTAATTGACATATTTTCTTGTTGCTGCAATGTCTGCGGTTCCGTTTCTTCTAAAAGTTTCTTCTGTAATTCTTCCTGTTGTTTTTGATGAGCTGCTTGTTCCTGCGCTCGCCTCATAATGTCGGAATTTGCGGTAGTTGTAACTGGTATCTAACAAGCAATCAGATTTTTCGTAATTAACACTTTGACGATTCAATTTTTTTTTATTTTAATACATTGGATACTTACAACTGGCGTGCCGACAATCGTAGGCGCGACAACAGCGGGAGGTGGTATGACAACCGGTTGACCAGGAATCGGTTGGATAATAGCGGGTGGTCGTGTTAAGGTTTGTGGTATAGCTATACCAGGTGGAGGTATCACTGGTGCTACCGTTGCTACCGTTGGTGGTGCCATTATTGTTGTGGGCGCTATAGTAGGTCGCACTACACCTACAGGAAGTGCTATAATAGAAATAAATAATAATAAACACATAAAGGTAATTCTTGTTTTGCAACGTTTGGATTCAATGTAGAAGCAAGAATTATGAAGGTACGAACTTTGATTCAAGATTGGTGGTGCAGTAGCTCCAAGTTTAGTAAGACCTAATGCGACGGCATTACTGGCAACTGCGTCCATCGCTTGAATTTTTGCTGTTGCAGCTGCTGCAGCCACCGCGGCCGCGGTTGGCATCATACTGGTACCACTAGGTGGTCCCATGAGCGCATTCGGTGGAGTTATTGCTCTGCCTACTCTCAGATACTGGCCACCCAGATCGAACAAGTTCATGGAAGCGATAGCTTCCAGCGCAGCCTGCATTGTCTCGTACTCGATGAAGCCGTAACCCTTATGTCGATGTGGAGAACTGCCTTGTGCAAGTTTGCAATACGTGATTGGCCCGAACGCTTCAAAAACCGACTTGATATCGTCTTCCGTCAGATCTTGATGTATCGATGCGATATAAATGCGATTATAATGTTTGCTTTCCTCGGTGATCTCGTCAATCACCGATTGTGCTTGTGGCATATTGGACGGACGTCCTACGACCTGAGGTAAATATAAGAAAAAAGGTAATGTATAAGATATTCTCTAACGTTGCGTTAATATTATTGTAAAATTATTCGTTAAATAAATATATCGCCACTTATTTCAAAAGTGATAATTAAAAAAGCACGATTTTCGAGTTATTAACATAATTGAGTTAGCTTTGATTGACATTACTCTGTCAAAAGTAAACTAATTCAATTTACATAACAAATCATTACACTTGAAGTATTTTTTTTTAAATTTTATCAAAATTGTCACAATTCTAAAAGAACAATTTTTTAAATCACATTTTATCATGTTAAGAAAATTTTTTGTCAATATTATTTGATTAATCAATAATTTTTTGTAAAATTAAAAAAGAATTTTCCCCCTTTTCTGAGAAATTTAATTTTTTGAATTGTGTAGCTTTTGGAATAAGGAAGCGATATAATATATAGAACATGTGTAATGGGATTTAACTTAATAAATAAATGAAAAACTCGAAATAATGTATACGTAGCAAAAGTATACTAATGAAATAAGATTTTCAAGCAAATTGCAGTTAAGATGCAGTTCGCTCGAAAATCGTAGGTATTGGATAAAGGACTAAATAAAAATTTGCCGACCTCCGGCGGGATGATAGGATTGCTGGGGGACAGGAAATTCGTTATATAGGTACGTCCTGCTACCTTGATGTTGCGGCCACCGATCATGACACCGTTCATTTGCTCCAAAGCAAGTTGCGCGGCTTCGGGTATCTCGTATTCAACAAAGGCGAAGCCCTTGTGTTTCTGCGTAACGGGATCCCAAGACATATTGATGGACTTGATCGGTCCGAATGGCAAGAAAGCTTGCCTGATTGTGTCTTCTTTCAATTCAAAACTGATGCTGCCCACATAAACCCTGTCATATAATAATAGATGTTATTAATATTATGTTATTTAATGTAATTATATTTAATATAATGTACGTAACTATCTTTTTGCTAACCATATGTAACTTCATTCAAACTTTCACATCAATCACTTGTATTAGAATTGTCATGTGTGCATTTAAAAATTGTTAACCCTTCGTTACTAAGGATCCACGGAACCCCAAAAAAAGTTTAAGAATTTATATTTAAAAAAAAAAAGGTCATTTATTCTTATTATAAAGAAATACTTTTTATACAATAAC